ACGACGCCCAAGGAGGAAGTGCCGCCATCGCTTGAGAGCCATGACGAACGCGAGTAGCTCCTTCTTCCTTGCATCATCAAGTGAGTTGATGGGAGACACTTTGTGGCTGAAGTACTCCACAGGGTGCCAGTCGTCGCCGTCGTGCTGTTCCAAGACTGCCCCAATGCCGTAGCCGGAAGCGTCCGTAGTCACTCTCGTAGGCAGGGTGGGGTCGTAGATGCTAAGGACGGGTGCCATGAGCATAGCCGTCTTAAGTGCTTGGAATGACCGGCGTGCGTCGTCATCGAATACGAATGGCAACTTTGGCGACTATAACCTCATCATAGGTGCATCAATCCTTGAGTATCCGGTAATGAATCGCTGATAGTAGCCCGCCAATCCCATGAATGAACAAACGTCCGTGGTGTTGGTGGGCTCGGGCCATACTCGTAGGGCTTCGATCTTGTCCGCAAGCGGACGGATGCCTTGCGGCGTCACATAATGTCCCAAGTACTCCAGCTCCTGTCGTGCGAATTCACACTTGTCGCGGTTGGCCTTGTACTTGGCTTGTCGTAGCCGCTCCAAAACGGTGCGCAGGTGTTCCACATGCTCCTCCAAACTCCGGCTGTACACCAGGATGTCGTCGAGGTAGCTAAGTACGTATCGATCCAGCATGTGTCCGAACTCCGTTGTCATAGCCGCTTGGAAAGTGGCCGGGGCATTCGTAAGGCCAAATGGCATAACCAGCCATTCGAAATGCCCGTATCGCGTCTTAAACGCGGTCTTGTAACGGTCCTCCTTGCGAATCTCGAGTTGGTGATATCCCGACTTGAGATCGAGCTTGGAGAAGAACTTGGCGCCGCCCAGTCGCTCGAGAAGATCGTCGATGCGTGGGAGAGGGCCAGCGTTTCTGATCGTCTGCGCGTTGAGCTTGCGATAATCGATGCACAACCGCAAATCCTTGTTCTTCTTCCGGACGAAGAGAACAGGAGCACTGTATGGCGATGAGCTAGGCCGAATCCAGCCTTTCTCCAGAAGGTCGTCGAGTTGTGCCCGAAGCACACTTAACTCTTCCTCGCTCATTCGGTAGATGCAACCGCGCGGAGGTACGGCCTGTCCTCGAGGATAATCTCGTGGTGGATGGGTCGATCCAGTACTACTCCGTGCGGGCCTTCGAACACGTCGCTGTAGGCTTCGAGAAGCTCGGTGATGCGTGGATCCGAAGGTGAGTCTGTCGATGAAGCGTCATGGGGCGGGAGGGCGTGGAGAAAACACACCCCCATCTCCTCGATGTCGTCTCTAATGATGGAAGATCGCATGCTTGCGGCGGATACCACGTGGCAGCTAATCGAAGGATGAGGAAGAGGCACCGTGCATGGAACTAGTACTCCGTTCCGATCACGAATGTAAACGGTGCGGTGGAAGAAGTTCACCGGGTGATCCTCGCTTCGCAGCCATGACATGCCCAAGATCATGTTAAATTTGGTGTCCAGAATGTCAAAGGACATGGCCTCACTTGTGTGAGGGGCAAAGTACACTGGGACTTTGTCAATGCACCGGTCGATTGACTTGTGCGTGTGACCGTCCGCCAACGTGACTTGCGTAGGCTGGGACTTCCTCCGGACGCGTGGGCCAAGGCCGGCACGCTCCATGAAGTCCTGGCTGATGTAGTTGCGAGATGCTCCGCAATCGATCAAGGCGTTGCACTTCGCCTCTCCGATCTGAATGCGTACATATAGCAATGGTGCGTCGATGTCGTCGTACCGTTGCGTCTTGAACTCGCGGTCGATCTTCGCAATGTAAGCGTGAAGGTCGACAACCTCTACTCCGGCATCCATCAACGGAGCTGGTCCTGCAGTGTGCAAGTAATCCCGCAGTTGTGCCATGAGCACATTGCAATGCGGTTTCGGCAATCGTCCGGTCGGGGGAACGGGCATCCACTGGAAGTCCGTGAACGTCAGTGGGTCGAGCACCTCAAGTCTTGACCACGACGATGAATCCCCGACGATAGATGGCGGCGAAGCTGCCGAATCGGTTGCCGATGGTGATGAAACCGTGCATGCGGTAGATTGTTGCACGTGGAGCGGTTTGTCCAGCGGTGGAACCAAGTGGACAACATAGTCCTCGTAAGTGTAACGAGAACCTGCGACATTCGCATCCTCCCCAGATGTGCAGGAGGCGGCCGAATCTGGCGGAGTAGAAGGTGGAGTCGCCTCACCTTCCGCGGAACGCAGTTTCCCGAGTTGAGGCGGGGTCGCACATCCTCCTTGCCCTGATCCTGGCACAGGGAGGTCTTGTGCTTGGTGCTGTTGCACCAATAGCAGCTGCCGTAGCGGTCGCGGACCTTGTACTCCGCCTCGGTCAAGCCGAACTTGACCCATGGAACTTGTATTGGCTGTCCATTTCCGGCCTGCGATGCGGATTTCTTCTTCCCATTGTTGCGGGACTTGTTGTCGCTTCGCGGCTGGACAGCAGCCACCTGATCTCCGTCACCTGATGCTGGAGTGGCTGCTGGGTTATTTCCACTGTCCGACTGGACTGCAGCGAAGTGCTGCTGTCGCGGACGAGTTCGTACCTTCTCCACATAGGTCGGCTGCCATGTTGACTTCTCGTGTGCAGCTGACCTGTTGGTCTTGATGATTTCCCTGGCCTTGTCAATGATCTCAGCGAAGGTTGAGTACTGCTCGCGATCACCAAGAGCCTGGCTCAATGCAGCACAGGACCTGTTGTAGAACTCACGGCGTAAATGCATGAATGGCAAGTCCAGATTGGGCACTGCCGCAATCTTCTGCCACTCCGTGAGCCAATCCCGTGTTGCGCTGTTGCCCTGTGACATGGTGAACAGACGGTTGATGGCGAGTGTTGGCGCGTCGTCGACGATGAACCACTTCTTCCACAGCCGTGTCAGTTCCTCCCATGTGATTTTGTCCTTCAAGTCCGGTACGTCGACGCCGTGGGAGGTTGCCAGGTAGGTCAACCAGATCTGGCATCCGCCCTTTGAGTTCATGAACAGGGCGCCAATGTACGCATGCTTAGCGACAGGCAGAATCCGAAGTTGTGTCGTGAATGCTTCCCACCAGAGGACCGGATCCTGCTGCGTGTAGTCGTCGAACTGCTCCAGTTGGAAAGTTGGCATCTTGTACAACTTAGGATTGCCATCCGTGTTCGTCGACTGCAGCTGCTGGAACTCGGTCTTCAAGGTATGCAACTGACTGCTGATGGTGGTCGGCGCAGCGAAGGTGCTGATGTCGCCGAGCATTGCCACTACGTGGTCAACGTGTTCCTCCAGTTGGCGGCTAGAGGATGCACTGCTGGAAGCCCCAACATCTGGTCTTGGCGGAACTTGTTCCAAGTCCTGTACATGGGCGTCCAGTGCCCGTGTGGCATCCTCGTGCTGAGTCTTATGGTTCCGCACGGCTCGCTGGAGGTTCGCCAGCTCAGACTGTAGGTGGTTACACGTGTAAACCAACCTGGTCACTAGCTTGGCCATGAACTCCTTATGCTTCTCTTCCGGTGTTGCCTCGTCGCCATTCGGTTCAAAGTGTCAGAACTTGAGTCTGTCGATGCTGTTGGCTTCATGCCGCTGCAGCAGATCCTGGGCTTCCTTGCGGCGAGCCTGGGCATCTGCGTCTGCTTCGGCCTGTAGCCGGAGCTTCTCTGCTGCTGCCGCTTCGTCAGCCTGTAGCTGGGCAGCCTTGGCTGCCAGCTGGCGTTGTTCCTCAGCCTCGATTACAGCGAGCTGAGCCTGGAAGCGCTTTTTGTAGTCGGCAATGGGCTCATTGGCCAGTTGGCCTGGCAGGCCCGTCATGTTGCTGACGTGGCACTGCTGACGTGGCACTGCTTATAAGGCACTGTCACTGTGTCTGACGTGGCACTGCTGTCGTGGCACTGCTTACGTGGCACTGTCTGACGTGGCACTGCTGACATGTCACTGTGTCTGACGTGGCACTGCTGATGTGTCACTGTAGCTGACGTGGCACTGTGTCTGACGTGGCACTGTGTCTGACGTGGCACTGCTGACGTGTCACTGTAGCTGACGTGTCACTGTGTCAACCCGGAAATGCATGCAAAGGGGTGGGTGGGAGGGAAAACGCAGGTAGGCAAACAACCCAACAATACTTTCCTCCGGCCCTAATCAACAGATAAAATAAAATAAAAATAAAAGAGGACTACTTCCTTTTTTTTTTTTTTTT